GTATATGAATTGTACATGTACATGTACCATGGTGTATATGTACGGAAACCTCACACAGAGCAAAAGGGCAAAGCTTGTTTGATTTTGATTTTCAGTATGAATACGGACCGTGAAAATGTACATTGTGCAGTTTACCGTACAGGTACTGGTCCCCATACATGTAGTGTACCGGTATGTTTAAATTCATTTTTTTCACTGGTACCATGTACATACCACATTTTTCGGTATATCAGCTTTATGACAGCTGCATTTCTCCCCCCCCATAGTTTATATACATGTAATGTACATTGCAACAAGTTGGATCAATCCCACTAAGGGACATGGAAGGGGTTGGCAGATGTTCACATCTATGATGTACCACAATACAGTAAGAAAAAGGGGATATTACAGTATATCTGTGATAATAAGATTTTGGACAACTTTCCACACACAGGCATGTTATCAATGGTTGGTAAAAGCAAAATCAGAGGACTTTTCCAGTATGCAACCCCAGAAGGAACTTAAGTTCCCTATACAGACTATGTGCCATATTGTGTTCAGCTTTTACATGTAGGATGTTCATGGATTAGTAAGAGAAAATAACATATTACTGTATTTTTGTACATGTATAATTGGCCTCTCCTGACAAAACAGAAAGGTTCCCGGTATATACCGGTATCTTAACGTACATGTAAAACAAATGTCTGCAATTTCAGACATGTACATTGAATATTAAAATATTCAAATGAAGGAGATGGGACTTACTTGTTGTTTTTCCTGACATGCTGATGACACATTCAGCACTTCGGGAAATCTCTCGCGAGTTGAATGGACGGACACGAACTGCTACTTTAACCGATGACATCTTGGCAGCTGTTTACCTTGTAATTGGTATCCGACAAATGCTTAAAAAAAAAAACCTTTAAATTTTCTAATTTTTTTCACGGACAGCTGGTTGGCTGCGATGCAGTTCGTCAAAGTTCTTGCTGAGGCTTTCCCTCGACGGCTGCCATCACAGGAATCACAGCTGCTGTTGTTTTGTTCTCACTGAAAGCAAGTCCTAAAAACATCCTCGGAGGGGAGGAGATTCCTGGCCACAAACGCAGATCTCATGGTCGGAGGCCACACCATGATGCCCCAATATGCTTCTGAAATGTACGTGTAATATGTACTCCCCGCATCTCCGGCCGCATTCATAAGCAGATGGTTGAGGGCCCGTCTGTATTTTCCTGGCGCAGCCCCCCTTCTGCCCGGTGAGTGAATGTGTGCCTGTACGTGTGTGCCTCCTGTCCGTACATATGCTCAGCTGTTGCTGGCTGGGATGTGAATATTCTGAGCCAGCGTGGAGAGGGCAAGTGCGTCATCAGTGGGGCCCCATCCCTCCCGTCGGTCGGTGGAAATGCCAAACTCAGGCTGGGGCTCAGCACAGTCACAGCAAGCCACCTCTGATGGCAGATAGCCCTCAAACCCCCGAGCTTTATTTCCTGTCTTCTCGCCTTCCCTTCCTTTCCACGACACTTGTCAGGATAAAAAAAAATGGCTTGATTTGATTCTTTGTTGAGCTTCCTCTTAATGCTCCTTTTTTTTTTACATCACATATGGTTGGCTGCCCACGGCTAGTTCACATCGACAAAGAGAAATTATCATTATCACGGTCACAGTTCTGTGCCAGGGATCGTGTTATAACCATGTCATTTTTGCTACATTTTGCCCTTCACTGTTTTTTTTTACCTGAGGAGGGAAAAAGACATATAAAAAAAGGAAATTCAGTCAGTGTTGAAACAAACAACTTGGCACACAGTTTGGCGGCTTTAGACATTTTGACAGCTTTGTATCGGTACAATTTCATTTCAGGACAATAAATTGCCCACCAGAGGCACAAACTCAGTCATCAAAAGTGAGATTGTAAAGGTGCGGCATCTGTTGATTAATGTTAAGTATCAGGAAGCACAATGATTGAGTGGCCTGCATAGACAATGACATGAGCTGTTAGTTGTTGGGATTTGCACTGTTCATGCACTCGTACAATCCACATCAACTTTCTTTCATTGAAAGTTGCAAAACATTAAGACGGCAAACGTACATGTATTTCCCAGGGGTGACCAAAAAAAAAAAGCCAAAAATGGAAGCTTGACTCACCGTTGCCAATATTTTTTCTTTTTTCAAACAACTTTTGAGATCGACATTAATTCACGATCACACTCATACATGTACATGTATGTTGCACATGTGTATAACATGTAGCAAACCATTACAAACTACATGTACGTGTGACTGTCGTTCACTAGGGTCTTTATTAAAGCACCCCTGCAACAAACATTACTGGACTGGTTTGCCTAAAAGTTCAAAGTCATAAACACCTACATGAACACGATGTACATGTACATAAAAGCAAACACGCACCGCTTCTTACAATGTACAATGGGCAAATTGGACAGATGTACAGTACAAAAGGAAATTTTAGCAATTAATGAATATTTTACCATGCTAAAAACCCATTAGTCCCCATGCCCTATACTACATACAGTACAGTACTCGTACATACTGGTAGGGTATCCGTCCATCTTCAAATAAATATCCAGTGTATACACTATGTACTGCAATGTACATGTACATGTGCTTATGATCTTCTGTTCCCTGACTTATCAAGGTGCATTCATTTACGCACAAATGATTTATGAATGATGACTACAATTTTCTAAGAAATGACCGGAAACCACTCTTCAAGATAAGGATGATTCACTTGTCTCTTCTGACTGTGCATACAGCAGATCATCTGCATCAAGGTGTGATTACACAATACTGCATGGAACAGATGCGTGAATATTACTGGCCTATACACGTACTAGGGACATTACACGTAACATGCAATATGCATACCGGTACATATACAATACTTGTGCATGTTCATGTACCATGTGTACAGTGCTGGTCCATGGATACATTGTACATGTACATTTAGTGACACCCAAGTTTTTTTGAGGGGGGCACAGCACAGCGTTTTTGGGGGGTTTCTTTTTTTGTTAGTTGGTTTTTGGGGTTTTTTTTACATTTTGATGAAATTGATTTTTTCAGGCTGCAAGTGTGCACGACAAATTTGTGTAGGTACATGTAGACACGCTGTACATGTACACATTAATTACATGTATTTGCATAAACCATATCTTTGTGACAATTTTTGCAAATTACAGTCACAGGTCCTTTACAGAGATATATACAATATATGGGAGGTAGGGGCAAGTGCCAACCTCCCCCTCACACACTCACACAGCCCCACCCACACACACATTGCCAATGGTTTTGTTTGGGGCATTTGGAGAAAGAATTGATCCAATGGGTAGAAATGATACCACCAGATCTCTCAGGGGGGGCAAACTTTTTGAAAGATGAAAACAACAAGAGGGTCCCTTTTTTTTTGGGGGGGGGAGAATTGACTTTGTCCCCTCCCCCACTATATAATGCCACTACATCTAGTTCCCTGTACCTCTCATTTGACAGTGTTTATCTAGTTGTTGTTGGGGCCAGGCTGCACCATATGTGGAACCAGAGCTCCTCGATTCAAGACCCTTACGGACGTCAGATTGACTTCTGACATTTCCAAGTGTCTGGCCCACTCAGTTTACACTGAGGTACAATGTAGATGCAATATATGAGAGTATTTCCACATTTGGAACACAGGGGAAATTTTATAAACAACTGAAAAAAATAAGACTAAATCCACTTTCAAGAGGAAATTTTGAATGTAGCGGTTTGTCACTGATTAATCATTCAAAGCAAATAAACAAATACTTGCTGGCCTAACATGTATATTGTACATGTAAGAAATTTATCAAAATAAAACAAGCATCTTTGGTGTGATTTTCTTTTTCTTTTACATTTTGCCCTTAATGTGCCAGGATGGTTGGCTTATTGTAGTGTACACAAACCGTATCTGTATCATCTACATGTATGCATGTAAAGGTCACAAACACAAAGCCCCATGGGTCTTGTTTCATAAGCCATTTGCGAGTTCAATTTGAATAAAATCTGGTACACTGAGTTCTTTAAATACACGCGGACATAACCTTAATTCTCCATACTAAAACCACTGTTGCTGTACCTCTTGATTCGGGGCAAGCTTTTGCTTAATTACAGAAGAGGCACCTTGCAACAACACTGGTACACTGTCCTCAATGGATAAGAACGGCAAAAAGGAGCCAGTCCATTCCAGAGATGGTGGTCACTAAGCAAAAGCATGCCCCAAATCATGAGGTATAGTAACAGTGTCTTCAGTCTGGGAAATTCAAATTGTTACGTTTCTGTGCAATCAGATAACACTTTACCAGATTTTATTCAAATTCAACTCGCAAGTGGCTTATTAATCTGTTGATCGATCATTGTTTACTCTGTGAGTCATTGCTTCACACAGAGGGTGTTTTTGTGTTGACTACATGTAGATATCAGCACCAGCAAACAAGGTAGATACCAGTACATGTATCAAAAGAGCACATACCGGTGCTACACATGTGTACACCCTTCTCTTTCTGAGCTGCGGTATACATCTATTCACATTTTCTGTCAACCAGGGCCGTGGTAATTTATGGCTGACCATCAGAGGTTTCCGATCTTTCGACCATTGGAGAATTGAGGACAGTTTTGGGGCCCTCAACATCCTCGAACCTCCAAAATCTTATGGGCAGTTTTGGAAGATTTTTGGAGGATTGAGGCTGATATACATTTAGCCAAAAAGCTAGCTGATGGCAAAGGATGCACTCTGTTAAGATCTTGGGTCAGACCTTTTGTTGTTATGCTCAGCCATGCATAAATGTGTGGGGGTATATAATTCCAGAAATTAGGGGTCCATTTTTTTTCACGTCCCAGTTACATCTGACATATGATTCAGTAAGTTCCGATTACATTTTCTACTTTCCAAGAGTGATGAATTAATGCAAAATACCTGCCAAAAATATACGAAAAGTTTGATATCAATTCCGGCGATATTTCCATGTCAAATAACAAAGGTCAGATGTTACAGGGACACAAAAAGTCACACTTCTGCACCCTTAATTTCTGGAATTACCTATGTGACATTATCCCCACTGCTCCAAGGTACCATTTGCACTGCCTCAACCTATGCACATGTACATACTGCAGGAAGTGCCGGGAACGGCAGCAGAATTTGGAAGAATTGAGACACCATGTACAATGTCTAGTGGTTGCGCCTCCGACAAACCAATTTGAAATATGACAGATTTGGAAGGACTGATGAGGCAACATCCAATTTTTTGGCAGGCAGTTTAAGAATTATGAAGGGCTGAGGATTCCCACCATCTGGCAAAAAAATGGTTTAGGGGTTTTTGCAATGCCATGCGGTTATCAAAACCCCCAATGCAATAAAAAGTGCTGCGGTAAGACCAGAATTTCAGTCTTCAGTAAAAGTTGAATTCACATTTTCAGGCAAATCAAACATGAACCGCAGGGGATATTTTCTGCACACTCTGGTGCCCAAAGGGTGTAAGAGTAGGTTACATTGTATGCAAAAAATATCTCCTCTCTCATTCACCATGAATGCAACCTTAACCGTTAACCCTAACCCTCCCCAATCCTTCACCTGTTGGAGGACTGAGGAGTGTTAGGGTTAACGGCACCAAAAGCCATCAAGTAAAATCTGCACTATGCAAATTAAAACACTGAAACAGAGTGTTACAAATTAACACGTAAATTTCCTGTGTTTAAAGGACTCATGCAATGCATTGTTTTTTGGTGGTGTTTGTTTTTATTCTTTGATTATATCCATATTATGATGTACATATGTAAGAGTAATTATGTCATTCAAAGCAGATGTACATGTACCTCAACATTAAAAGTACTGGTATTTCAGCACTCAAAATTGCTGGAATTTTGCTCAGCTTTTGTATGAAAATGTTGTTTACTTTCTCCTATCTAAATCAACATTTAGTGGACCTCTTGTATGGAATATCTGACTGGGCTGGGTCAATACAAGGTTAACCCCTCTCCAAAAAGCAGCTTCAAGGGTAATTTGGTGCAATGCTGTAGTCCAGTCCATCACAAGTGAAGTCCCTCGGAGTCCACCACAAGTCCATCAAGAGTCATTCAGTCTTCAGCCGAGTCACTAAGCTTTTCAAATGAACTGTGACCAGGGCATTCCTTTGTCATACATCATTACATGTAGTTCACCCTGTTACTCATGATGGTCTGTGAAAGGACTGGTGGCTTGACTTACATGTATGTAGGAACAAATGCAAATTTGTGAAAATGTCTGTGGTGGACTCGACTAGGGCACTGATTTGGGGGAGGTTTCCTGGAACAAAATGAGGATGACCAGTCAAGGAATCCAATAAAACTAAAGCTTAAAAAGACACTCATAAGAATGAATATTTCCTCAAGGTTTCTTCAAGTGCATGAAAACTGAGCGCGCGTGCTGAGTGCATGAAAACTGAAAGTACGTGCTGCGTATACAGTAGGACATGCACAAAATGATCTTACTGCGTGATTTCAAAAGCCAATAAACTACTCAAGCAGGCCTCTATAGGTACTCATCCGACAGTCTTGTGCTCTCCGTCAAGCCAGTAATGCCCTGAAGACTTCTGTAACATTGCCTATTCTACATGTACATGTACAGTACATGTACAAAGGAAGCCAATGTTTGCAGAAACATCAGTCCTGGTCAGCTTGAGGTTCTATCTCAAGGTGTAAATTGTGTATACCTTTGCCCCATTAGTTTTAAACAGCGTTGCATTTTATTTCTATTGACAGTATTACTGTACATGCACTCACATACATGTACATGTTGCTGTAGTTAAACGTACTGGTACTGTTTGGCATTTTGATAGCCATGTCAAAGTTTAAACACTTTGTAAATTATACTTTTGCTCTCGGTAATGACATCATGTCATGTACATCTACTGGTATGTAAGGGGGAAAAATGACTGGGAAGCAGAAGTCAGATATCTCTTCGTTTCCACACTAATTTCAAATCAAATGCTCAATGATTCTTACACAAGTTTCAACATTCATTTTAATTACACCTTTTTCTTTTTTGTTGGTTTTGTTTTCGTTTTTGTACTTTCCTATTCCTAACTGAGAGAGTATATTCTTTGCAATGCCTGGCATGACCCGCAAGCACACTCCAACAAGATTTTATTGCAAGTTTTGATGATGCGGTCAGCTAAACAACACATCGTTTCATCTACCTATCTGTTTTCTTCCTTAAAGACCAGCAGGCAGAACACGCTGTAGACAAGCAGTTTGAAATTGCACAAAACTTACATTAACCCCAATCCTTTTTAAATACATGTATTACATGTGACATAACACATTTACAGCTACAAATGAATCTTTACATACCATACATGTATGTACAACCACGTGTATCTATGACAATATTTCAACACAATTCTGGGTATAATGGATTGGATGGCTCAGTCTGAGATTGCAATGGTCATTAGATAGACTGGTTTCATTTCATTACACAAGCTATAACTCATTAGTATCTTATACACGATTACTGCGGGATTTCTTTGACTCATATTTCTTTAACAATTATAATACGGTGTATTAATTCCTTCCTCAATGCTACCGATGTACAGTACACGAAATGAAGCACATTCGTTTTAATAGTCAAAATACAACTTTGGACTTTCCACATTTCCAAGTGTTCTAGATAGTAAAAAAAATTCATCTTTGAGAAATTTAACACAACTATGACAATAAGTTTAAAGATCCGTGTTCCCCAAACTGTGGGAAATATATTTCTTATGCTTACAGCACTGCCAATCCATTCTTACTACAATTATTTACACGACTTATATTTCGATTGTAGATCTTTAATTGTCCAAATCAAGACATCTAAACTGCTGCCAAAGTTTTGGAAGAGCCCTTTGGTACATGTAGTATCTTATCGCTCAGTCCATGTATTACATATGTCTTGACATGCAACAGCCGTCGAGACGATGAGGAGTCAAGTGACGTAATGCTCAAGAACCTTATTTTGAAGATGGCGACTGAGAGAGCGAGCCCGTTAGATTGAATGGATAAAGGCAAAAAGACTGGAAAATACCTGAATTACGTGAGTGAAATCATTCAATAAATGGTTTTTAGAAAGCGGAACGGTCAAGAATCATATTCGTGTGCAAAACAAATTGTGCCCACGATGATAACTGGGTGTGCTGAAATGTTCAATACGCCGACACGAAATCGCGTATACTGATGTGTGGCTGAGGATGGATCGGGAGTGAGAGTCCGTGCCACACTAGTGGGGCCAAGTATCACTCAGCTTGCCAGCTGCAGCAACATGACGAAACCCAAACATCAGAGGCGGCAGCAAGTCATTTTTTGCAAGTCCAAGTCAAGTCACAAGTCAGTGTTTGTCCGTACATGTAGGAAGCGACTTAATACTAGCCCGTGAAACCTGGTGCGCTACTTTTTTTCAGTAG